CTTCATCAGGAGGACCATCCCCTCCTTGAGGGAAGGGCTGCCCCTCCAAGTATGGGCTGTGGGTGTTTGTGTGGGTACTGCTCTGGGGTCCTCTCTGCTGCCTGTCTGCCTTCCCCCAGCACCTTCTCCTCAATCCTGGGTGCCTGGCTGGACCAGTCTCTGGAGGGTTTCTGTCAGCTTCCATACCTTCCTCTCTAGGATGCTAGTGAACCCAGCACAACTGAACATGCCTGGTTTGGACCTGCTGCTCCGCCCAGATGCTCTTGCCCAGCTGAAGCCCACTGAGGCAGAGCCAGAGGGTCAGGAGAACTGGGGGGTGGCTGCTGTGATGAGGGGGAGGGGGCTGGGCCACGAAGACAGGAGCAGAGCGTGGCCTCAGCCCACTCCCCTGGTGAACTGCCATCTGCGGACACTTCTTGGGGTGTATCTCTTGGGTTGGTTTGGGTTTTGCTTGAAGGCAAGGGGGTGTTTTCTGTGTTGGGAGAGTCCTATGGTAAGGTAATCATGTTGGTTAAACAGTCCTCTGCCTGCAGCTCACGTCTGCTCTACAGCCAGATCTAGAGCTAATGACAGCTGTGTCTTCAACTCCAGCACTAGAAATAGCAGCCACGGTACCAGCTGCAGAGCTAGAGCTACCTCTGGGTCCAGCTGCAGGGCCACTTCCAGAGTCACAGCCAGGTGTGCCACCAGTTGCACGGCAGAACCAGCCCCAGCACCAACTCTGCCCACCAGTTCCAGAACGAGAGCCAGCTCTAGCAACTGCTCTGTGCTAGCATAGCATCAGTGTAGCACCAGCTCCAGAGCTATCCAGCTCCAGAGCTAGCCCTAGCTTCAGCACAAATGGTAAAGTGCAATTCAGTTCTAGCCCCAGCTCCAGTGTTAAAGTCAGCTCCGTTGCCAGCTCCAGAAATGAACAAATTCAAAGCCAGATCCAGAACCAACTCTAGCACTCTCCCTGGTACCAGACAGGGAGACGGAGCCAACCACAACCCCAGCTCTTGCATGGGCTCTGGCACCAGCTCCAGAGCTAGTCCAGAGTGAGGGTCATCACCGCCTTCTGCGCTACCACCAGCTCCATCATCAGGGATGGCACCGCCAGCTCCAGCGACAGCTCTAGATCTAGAACTAGTTCTGGAGCTAGAAACAGCACCGAGTTCTGCGCAAGAGCTAACTCCACCACCAGGTCTAGAACTAGTTCCAGAGCTAGAAACAGCACCGAGTTCTGCGCAAGAGCTAACTCCACCACCAGGTCTAGAACTAGTTCCGGAGTTAGAAACAGCACCGAGTTCTGCGCAAGGGCTAACTCCACCACCAGGTCTAGAACTAGTTCCGGAGCTAGAAACAGCACCGAGTTCTGCGCAAGAGCTAACTCCACCACCAGGTCTAGAACTAGTTCCGGAGCTAGAAACAGCACCGAGTTCTGTGCAAGAGCTAACTCCACCACCAGGTCTAGAACTAGTTCCGGAGTTAGAAACAGCACCGAGTTCTGCGCAAGGGCTAACTCCACCACCAGGTCTAGAACTAGTTCCAGAGCTAAAATCCACACCAGTGCCAGATTCTGCATTAGCTCCGCATCTAGCACCAGCACGCTGACAGCTCTAGCTCTGAGTTAGAAGCAGCTCAACTACCACCAGCTCCAGAGATAGAGGCAGGCCTAACGCCCACTTCCATGCCAGCCCTAGTACCAGGGCTACCTCCACGTCTAATGCCAGACCTACACCCACAGGAAACCCCAGAGCTACAGCCAGGTCACCTCCAGTGTCAGCTCCATAACCAGGGCCTGCCTTCCTCTCTTATTTTTTCTTTTGTGGCTTTTTCTTCATGTGCTTGATGATTACATGTATTTTGTTTTAACATGTGTATAAAACAAAAATTATCTTCAAAGCATTTCACCTTGTCCAATTCGGTGGCATTAAGTGCATGCACAATGTCTTGAAACCGTCAGCCCTGTCTAGTTACCGAACACTTCGCCTCAAACAGAACCCCATGCCCTCCTTAAACAGCCCATTTTCCTCCCCCACTCCCCCAGACCCTGGCAACCAACCGCCTCCTCTCTGTCTCCTCAGCTTTACCTGTCCTGCACATCTCATGTAAGTGGAATCATACCCTATGTGGCCTCTGCGTCTAGCTGCTTTCACCGAGCATATTTTCAAGGTTCCATCCATGCTGTAGCATGTTCCAAAACTCCTCCTTCTTGAGGCTGAATATTCCACTGTACATGCAATAAAATAAGTTTTACTCATTCCATGTCCATATCTGTAAACGGACTTACCCATTGTTGATGGACATGTGGATTATTTCCACTTTTCAGCTATTATGACTAGTGCAAACATGAACATTCAGGTACAGATAGACATCTGAGTGTCTGTCTTCAGCTGTTTGGGCAGGAGTAGAATTGCCTAGTCAAATGGCAAGTCTATGTTTAACTTCTTCAGAAACTGCTAAACTGTTTCTGACAGAAGCTTCGCCACTGTACATCTCCCCCCACTCCAGCAACGTATGAGGCTTCTGACCTTACCAGCACTTATTTTTTGTGTTAAATTATAGTCACCTTGATGGGTATAATATGGTATGTTACTGTGATATCTGTGTATTCTTGATACAAGACCCTTATCATATTTATTACTTGCCAATATTTTCTACCATCATGTGGGTTTTATTTTGTGTCCCTTGATACACATTTTTTGAACTATTTATTTATTTTAGAGAAAGAGCTGGTGAGAAAGAACATGAGCTGGGCGCAGGGAAGGAGACACAGGCTCCCTGCTGAGCAGGGAGCCCAATGTGGGGCTCATTCCCAGGACCCTGGGATCCTGACCTGAGCCAAAGGCAGATGCTTAACCAACTGAGCCACCCATGTGCCCCTATACACAACATTTTAAAGTTTTGATGCAGTCCAATTTGTTTTAGGTTTTGTTGCTTGTGCTTTGGGTGTTCTATTTAAGAAACCATTGGTAAATCAAATGACATGAAGATTGGCTCCTGTGTTTTTTTCCTAATGGTTCTAGAATTTTAACTCTTAAATTTAGGCATTTGATCCATTTTAAGTTAATTTTTACATATGCTGTGAGGTAAGGCTTCAGTTTTACTCTTTGGCGGGCGTGTAGATATGCACTTTTCCCAACACTACTGTTTTAAGAACTGCTTTCCTTCATTGGATGGTCTTGGTGCCTTTGTTGAAAAAAAAAATCCATTGACCACATGCATATGGATTTAATTCTTGGATCTCAGTTCTATTCCATTGATCTAGTATCTGGCAGCCTGACTGAATTTGTTTATTAGCGTGAACAGTTATATGTGTGTGTGGTGGGGGGGGGCGCTATTCTTTAGGATTTTGTACATATAAGAGCTTGTCATCTATAAATAGACAGTTTTACCTCCAACTTTCCTATTTGGATGCTTTTATGTTTCTTGCCTAATTGCTCTGTCCGGATCTTCCAGTGGAATGTTGAGTAGGAGTCATGAAAGTGGATGTCTTTGCCTTGTTCCTGATCTTCGGGAGAAAGCTTTCAGTCAACTAAGCATGATGTTACTTGTGGGTTTTTCATAAATGCCCTCTATCATGCTGAGGACATTCCCTTTTATTTCTACTTGATTGAGTTCTCTTATGGTGAAAGGATGTTGGATTTTGTCAAATACTTTTTCTGCAGCAGTGGAGATGATTGAATTTTTCCACTTCATGCTACTACTCTGGATCGGTCGTTCTTCATATACGGAACCTTTAAATCTCTGGGATAAACCCCACTTGGTCATGATGTATAATCCTTTAATTTGCTGCTGGATTCTGTTTGGTATTATTTATTGTGGGATTTCTGCATCTATATCAGAGGGATATTGGTCTGTAGTTTCCTTGTGAGGCCTTTGGCTTTGGTATGAGGGTAATGTTAGCTTTGTAGAAATCAAAAGTGTTCCCTCCTCTCTTATTTGCTGGATGAGAAGAAGTGGTGTTAATTTTTCTTTAAATGTTTAGTAGTATTCACCAACAGAATGTTTTGTAGTTTGTGAGCTTCTAGGAATTTGTACATTTCATCTAGATAATCCAATTTGTTGTTCAATTGTTCATAGTCTCTTAAAATAAACCCTTTTTTGAGTCCTGTCTAAATTTCTCTTAGTCAATCTAGCTATTTTGACATTTTTTTCCAATTTTTCAGAAAAACAACTTTTGCCGATTTTCTCTACTGCTTTTCTGTTCTCAACTACATTACTCTCTAACATTTTTTTAGGTTTGCTTTGCTCTGGTTCTAGTTCATGAAGTGCATCTAACTGACCCCTGGCAATGCCAGCCTCAGGATCACTATCTCTAGGTTATGGCTGACCAGATAGCTGAACACTTACAGACTGGAGTGGCCCAGGCCAGCACCGCCCCCCCCACCCCACCCCCAGCATGCCAGCACAGGTCACCACAGACTCTGGTCTGCAGCTGAGCATGATGCCTGACAGTTGACAGGCCAGCCTGGAACTCTGTGGACCACCTGCTGCCTTAGGTACTTTGCTTTCCAGGAGCCTGAGGACTAGCTGACCCTGGCCAAGGAACACAGCCAATGGGCATGGTGCCCTGCCTGCAGCCAGGCATTTCCCTCACCCCTGCACAGCTATGGGTCACTGCCCCCTGTGCCCATGGGCACAACAGAGCCCTCGCTCACACACTGGGTCTGATGACTGCAGTTCCCTCCTCATGTCTGCATCTGCCCACAACCCTCCCGAGGGTCCACACTGCTTTGCACTGCTACAGCCTTTTTCAGGGTAGATGGAATCTCAGATTCTACCGTCAAGGCCAATGGTGAGCGAGAGTCCTGTCCGCCCCTCCCCCAGGAGAGAAGAGGCCCCCTTCAAGGACCTCACTCTTCACCAGGTGAGGAGGGGCAGCTGAGTCCCACCGATACTCTCTGGTGCCCCTGCAAATGCCAGGCACCAGGGGTCTGAGACCACAGGAGATGCGGCCAGTGGGAAGGGACGATTTCAGAAGAGGTGAGAGGGTAATTGAATTTTTGTACAACAGGTTAAAAAAAAAATGTTTACTGATTTGGACAATATTGGTCATAAATTGCAAAAGCTACACTTGAATACTACATCAAAATCCTCTTTCTACCATAGCTGGGAGTTGTGATTTTGTTCTTTCATTTCCTGTGTTTAAATGAAACACAGGCCCACTCCTCACTCAGTGGAAAGTCTTGCAGGCTTATCAGCTTATTAGGTGAGAGAAGCGAGGAGGGCCAGCCACATTGCTCTGGGTGCTGAGATACACCCAGATGCCCCTTGCTTGGAGGACACTTCAGTGTTGGGACCCTGGACAAGAGCAGAGACGGCCCCCCAGAATCCTGGCATTTAGAGGTTGAAGGTACTTTCTCAGCACAGCAACCACTAAAACTTGGGAGCCTTTAAAAATAGTGCTTGTCAGGACCATGTCCTTTCTCAGGACAGTAGCTGCTACAATTGGGGAAGATGGAACACACTCTGCTTCTCTTGCTGAGATTTCTTCTGACCACCGATTGAGAAATTATGGCGTTCAAGACCGAACTCTGGAATTTCCTCGGCACTGAGTGGGGAAAATCATACAAAAGCAAAAACAAAACAAAAACGAAACAGGTGAGAATGTGCAACGTGGCCAGAGGAAGATTATTAGTAAGTGGACTAAGGGCAGGCAGGACTTGACCTCCGTAACCCTCCCCAAGGGCCTCACAGCCAACCCTTTACCTAGATTTATTTTTTTATTATGTTCAGTTAGCCACTGTATAATACATCATTAGTTTTTGATGTAGTGTTCCACAATTCGTTAGTTGTGTGTAACACCCAGTGCTCATCATGGCACGTGCCCTCCTTAATGTCCATCACCCGGGTACCACATCCCCCCATGCCCCTCCCCTCTGAAACCCTCAGTTTGTTTCCCAGAATCCAGAGTCTCTCATGGTTCGACTTCCTCTCTGATTTCTTCCCATTCAGTTTTCCCTCCCTTCTCCTGTGGTCCTCCATGCTATTCCTTATGCTCCACAAATAGGTGAAACCATATGATAATTGACTTTCTCTGCTTGACTTATTTCACTTAGCATAATCTCCCCCAGTCCCATCCATGGTGATGTAAAAGTTGAGTATTCATCCTTTCTGATGGCTGAGTCATATTCCACTGTGTATATGGCCCACATCTTCTTTATCCATTCGTCTGTGGAAGGGCACCTCGGCTTCTTCCACTGTTTGGCCATTGCGGACATTGCTCCTATGAACGTTGGGGGGCAGGTGCCCCTTCTTTTCACTACGTCTGTATCTTTGGCTTTACCTCGATTTAAACCCTCCTGGGGTGGTCTCTGACCTCAGACCTCCTTTTCCTGCTGGCTTCTTATCCAGGGTAAAGATTTGTGATGCAGAGTTTAGAGCCACAGTTGCAACTCAGTCCATAAGCATCCCTGCTCCCTGTACACAAGGAGTTCCAGCATCCCCACTATGCCTTGCACAATTGTTCACCCCAGAAACGCCCACCCCATCAGGTACACTGTGGTCACTCCTGTCTGGCTGAGGCCTCACGACTGTGTCCTGGTTACGTCATGGGGGTGCAGACTTTTCCCATGAGGAGGCAGAAAAATGCAGCCTGAGCAGAGGGGTGCTGCCAGAAATGACGATCCACAGGCAGCACGCCCACTGCCTCACCAGTGAAACACTGGAATGGTTCCAATCCAGGCGGCAAACACACACGCCCCGAGCTTGCTGGAGTGCCCTTCCAGGTCCTTACCCAGGATGAGGAGCTGAAGGGCAAGCCAGGCAAGCCAGAGAGCCTCCAGTGCACCTGGTCACATACTGCCAACATCTTCCCCTGAAGAGGTCCCTCTGACCCTCCCCCCTCTCGTGTGCTCTCTCTCTCAAATAAATAAAATCTTTTAAAAAAAAAAAAAAAGTGAGAAGACGGGGGCGCCTGGGTGGCTCAGTTGGTTAAGCGACTGCCTTCGGCTCAGGTCATGATCCTGGAGTCCCGGGATCGAGTCCCGCGTCGGGCTCCCTGCTCGGCAGGGAGTCTGCTTCTCCCTCTGACCCTCCTCCCTCTCATGCTCTCTGTCTCTCATTCTCTCTCTCGCAAATAAATAAAATCTTAAAAAAAAAAAAAAAGTGAGAAGACGGGGGTGCCTGGGTGGCTCAATCGGTTAAGCGACTGCCTTTGGCTCAGGTCATGATCCCGGAGTCCCGGGATCGAGTCCCACATCGGGCTCCCTGCTCGGCAGGGAGTCTGCTTCTCCCTCTGACCCTCCCCCCTCTCATGTGCTCTCTCTCTCTCAAATAAATAAAATCTTAAAAAAAAAAAAAAAGTGAGAAGACGGGGGCGCCTGGGTGGCTCAGTTGGTTGAGCGACTGCCTTCGGCTCAGGTCATGATCCTGGAGTCCAGGGATCGAGTCCCACGTCGGGCTCCCTGCTCGGCAGGGAGTCTGCTTCTCCCTCTGACCCTCCTCCCTCTCATGCTCTCTGTCTCTCATTCTCTCTCTCGCAAATAAAGAAAATCTTAAAAAAAAAAAAAAAGTGAGAAGACGGGGGTGCCTGGGTGGCTCAGTCGGTTAAGCGACTGCCTTTGGCTCAGGTCATGATCCCGGAGTCCCGGGATCGAGTCCCACATCGGGCTCCCTGCTCAGCAGGGAGTCTGCTTCTCCCTCTGACCCTCCCCCCTCTCATGTGCTCTCTCTCATTCTCTCTCTCGAATAAATAAAATCTTAAAAAAAAAAAAGTGAGAAGACGGGGGCGCCTGGGTGGCTCAGTTGGTTGAGCGACTGCCTTCGGCTCAGGTCATGATCCTGGAGTCCCGGGATCGAGTCCCCGCATCGGGCTCCCTGCTCGGCAGGGAGTCTGCTTCTCCCTCTGACCCTCCTCCCTCTCATGCTGTCTCTCATTCTCTCTCTCGCAAATAAATAAAAGAAGGGGCAAGAGACGGGTGAATGATGGGGACAATGCTGAGCCAGCCCCTCCTCCCTAACAGCTGCAACTGGACACACAGCATGGCTCAGGCCCAGGCCCAGTGACTGTGCAGATTGTTGAATGCACGTGGGTGTGCAAGAGGGGGGCAGCAGCTGTTGGCCACACATGGGAGTTCTGGGTGGCTTAGCGGGTTGGATGGCACAGCATGAACGCGCAAGGAACAACTGATGAGTTGCCGTGGGTGCGGTGCTCACGGGTTGGCACCACGAACGTGCAAGCACCGCTTGACGGCACAGCACGGCTGTGGAGACGGGACTACAAGGAACGGAACGATGCCAAGTTTGCACCTGGCCTGAGCGTGCAGTGCGACATTGTCTAATGCACCCAGTGGGTGTGCTAGAGCCAAAATCTTGACGATGAGAACAGGAGGAGCAAATGGGAGGTACTGCAGGTGTGCACAGGGCGTTGGACTGCACACGGCAGGTGTGCACACCGTGCACTTGACTGGAGGGTAGTGTGAGCACCGGCATTTGAGGGACGCGTGGGGTGCGTGGGAGGAGCGAGGACGTGGTGGAGCAGGGGTTCCGGGGGTGGATATGACAGGACACGTGTGCAAGGGGTGACAGCTGAATAATGCAGTGAGCGTGGGGCGCCTGGGTGGCTCAGTTGGTTGGGCGACTGCCTTCGGCTCAGGTCATGATCCCGGAGTCCCGGGATCGAGTCCCGCATCGGGCTCCCTGCTCGGCAGGGAGTCTGCTTCTCCCTCTGACCCTCCCCCTCTCATGCTCTCTGTCTCCCATTCTCTCTCTCAGATAAATAAATTAAAAATCTTTAAAAAATGAAATAAAATAATGCGGTGAGCGTGGGGCGCAGCACGGCTGGACGGCACGCAGGGACGTGTGCAGACACAACTGTCCGACGGCGGTGGGGGCGGGGGGCCGGTGCTACACACAGGGAGGTTGTGGGACTGCCCGCGGCTGCTGGGAAAGGAGCAGTTGCTGGGCGTCGAGGTGGGCACGGGACAGAGCAGTGTGCCGGCTGAGTCCCTGCAAGCACAGGGGAGTGACCACGTTGGTCAGTTCGACCCGTTGACTTGGCCAGGCCCTGGTGCCCGCTGTTTGTTCAAACGCCAGTCTCCATGCTGCTGTGAAAGCATCCTTTAGATGTGATTAACTCTGAATTTCGCAGACCTTGATCAAGCAGACTGCCCTCCACACTTTGGGAGGGCCTCATCCAGTCAGTGGAGGCCTTAAGGGCAAGGACAGAGGTTTCCCAAAGAAGCAACGCTGCCCTCAGACTTCAACACGCTAACCCTGAGTTTGCAGACTTTGGACCCCAGACCACAAAGTCCACTCTCCCCTCAGTCCCTGGCCTGCTGCCTGCCCTGCAGACCTCACTCACCAGCCCCCACCGTCTCTCGCTCTATCCTGCGGGCTCCATTTCTCTGGAGAACCCCATTACTGTCACTGTTGAGGGGCACATGGAGTGCAGAGCGGCAACTGAACGGTGCAGAGGTGTGCAGCATGGCTGTGGAGCAAGCACCGACTGCTGGTGGCCTACGATGGCCAGCACACGTGAAGGCTGGGAGAGGGACTACAGGGGGCTCTGCACACCTGGAAGGTCCGGGCCCTCACTGGAGCCTGGGGGGCACGGGCAGTGCTGTCACAAGAGGGAGATAAAATCATGGGTGCCAACCGACCCTGAGGGGCCCCTGAACGCTGCACCTGTGATGCCTAGGGGCCTGCATGAGGGACAAGGTATGAGGCCTGGCCTGGTGCCCTGACCGTACGGACATCTTTGGCTCCGGATGGGGGTTCAGGGGAGGCACAGGCCAGTGGAGGGACGGCAGGCTCTATGTTAAGTAGTGGTTCTCCTACGGGATAGACACAGAGGTCCTGGGCCCCAGAACGTCCAGCCCACATGGAGGGGCTTGCTCCAGGGCAAGATGGAGACAAGCAGGGGTGTGGTCCTACTGCAGAGGGGACCCTGCAGGACAAGCCAGCTGCCTCACACTGCTGTGGATGGGAGGCCTATGGGCTGGGATGCTAGTCCTTGCTGAGGGAAGGCTGGGGGCACCAGGAATCCCAACCACATGCTGCCCCCACACCCGAGTCCCCAGCACACTCCGGGCCTTCTGGCTGCAGAGCTCACTTAGCAGGGCCTCCCCACCCACCCCCCCACTGGATGCAGAGCACTCAGCCCTGGCTAAGCCTCATGAAGACAAGGAGCCCAAACCCTCTACATAGGCAGGGTCCCAGGGATGCCAGCGGACAGCCAGGACAGTACCACACCCACAAGAGCAGGAGCCGCACCTGGGCCACCTGAGGCCACAAGGCTCCGCGGGAAGGTGACCTGTCCCATGCCACACAGCAGCACAGAGCTTTATTTCTGGAAGGCGCTGTGGAAGAGACTGCCTGCCTTCCATGCCGGTGCCTCGGGGCCCCGCCTGATGCAAGCTTCATGCCCTAAAGAGAGGCAGTGGCGGCCACGACCTCCTCCAGCTGCTGGAGGAGCTCCCCCGGCTGCAGCGAGAACACGCTAGCGTCCACTCTCTGGAAGTCGGGGTGGGCCACCACGGAGGCCAGCACCTCTGCGATCCGGCTGACATCAAAAGCAGCCTGCTGGGGGCCCAGCCCGCTGCCCGCACTGCCCTCCATGTCACCAGGGCCCATCTCCTTCGCCAGAAGCAGCAGCCTCCTTTCAGCGATGATCTTGAGAAAGTGGTAAAATTCTTCAAAATTGATCCCGGAGCAGGACCTCATGATGACCTGGCCAGAGAGGAGCACCAGTGAGGCGTGGCTTGCTCGCAGCTCCAGGCAAGTGTCTGAAGACTGTGGGCAGGGCCCAGTCCCTGAGGATGGGAACAGAGATACCCGGGAGCCAGCCAGCGATGGGTCGGAGTCCTGCAACCCGGAAGCCGCAGCGACCTGCCCCAGGACCACACCGACCTTCACACAGGCAGGCTGGCGGCTACCAGGTCCCCAAGACCACAGCTCTGACCTTACGGACCAAGCCCTCTGAGAATGCAGGCTTCCCTGAGGGCTGGCCCACGCCCTCCCCCCACTGCGCCCTGGTCCTGGTGAGCCCCCTCCCCAGCCCCCACTGCGGCCCTGGAGAGCCCCTCCCAGTCCTTCCCTCCTGCCCAGGCTGGCCTACCTGGCAGTGATGGTCCCAGTCAGGCATAGTGTCCCTCCACTGGCTGACCTCCTGCTGCACGGCCCGGAGCTCCTGCTGCAGGAAGTGCCACATATTGGCCAGGTTACAGCCGTTGACCCAGTTGTGATTGATGGAGATGGTGTCCTCCTGGAAGGGGTGGGGTGTGGGTCCCCCCGTGAGTCCACACCAGACCATCCCCAAGCCCTGTCCTGAGGTCCTGGCAACCCTCCTCAGCCAGGAAGGGCTGCTCCTGTCTCCCGGTAGGTGCTACCATAAAGAGGGGGCTGGACCTTTCTGAGGGCACAGCTAACCAAGAGCAGGGCTCCCAGGGGAACTGGGGCAACTCCACAGTGTACAAGGACCCACTGCTGCCCAGGGAAGAAACGTGGGAGGCTGGGAAGAAACGGGCTGGTGGCCCTTCTCCAGTCTGTGCAATCCCATACCCGGGCTCTCCGTGGGATCAGGAGGGGTGCGCCTGGCCCTCTCTCTGTGGAAAGGCATCTAAGAGTGTGTGAAGGGTGAGGAGTGTGCTGGGTAAGCCAGGGGCAGATGAACGGGGAGCTGGACACTCTGGGCTTGGGGTCAGACCGGTGGGACCCCAGGGCGTTTCCCTGACCTGTCTGGGCCACACTGCACGCACATGCGGTGGGGTGTGCCCACCCTACCAGGTTATGGACTTGGTGGTGCCACCCGCTGGGCACGAAGACCATCTCGCCCGCCTCCTGCGTGAGCTCCAGGGGTGGGCTGCATTGCTTGCGCGTGGGGTACAGGCGGCTGTCGAGCAGCGCGGGTGAGGTCACGTCGTAGGGCAGGCCACCGTGGCAATCCCGAAGGGCTTCTTCTTGCCCCGGAGGGAAGAAGAGCCACTTTTTCCTCCCACAGATGTTGGCAGACCAGCTAAAGGAGCGGAAGATGTCAGCGTGGAACGGTGACCTGTGTGAAACCTTCTGTTGGTGCCTACTGAACCAGAGGTGGTCTGGTTCTTCCTGGCCGAGGACATGGGCCCCAGGGGCCCCAGCGCTCACACTCCCCCATCTGAGAGCCCCCAGGGGCAAAGTGGGTACAGAGGCTTGGAAATGGGACGCCTGGCAGCCTTCCCCACACCTAGGCGTCTCTGAGAGGCTCTGACAGAGTGGACAGGATTGAGGAGAGTGTGTGGGGCAGGGACAAGGCGCAGAGAGGAGGTTGGGAGGGACGCACGGTACCAGGTGCCAGCAGGCCCCATGTAGATAAAGCGGTAGTCGTCCACATCCAGGGCGTCCCAGTACTCATTGAGCCAGTCGGATGAGAAGTACACGGGCAGGGTGAACACGTCCTCGGCCGAGGCGTCCCTGCAGGGAGTGACGAGAGGCTGGGGCAGGAGTGGCCACCTTCTGGCCCCTGTGCCCCGAGCACGAGACAGCCAGAGGTTTGGAAGGACACGAATGACGCTGAGCTGCCTTCCACAGCCGGCGTCCACAGTGAGGCTGGCCACCCTGCGCTAGTCCAGCCACCACATGACCACAGCCCCAAGTGACCCCACCTGAGCCCTGTGCAAGGAACGAACGCCCGTCATAACAGAGGAAACGACGCTGGGGGTGTTGTGACGCCGCTTAGGTGACCCATGCGGGCGGCACCGCAACTGCTCCAGACCCCTGTTGCACCAGGTCCGGAATTTCAGCCTCTGGTTGAGCTGGTGCTCTAAGTGCCTCATGGGCATCACGCTGTTCTCCAGAACCCGTGGGCCTCGTCCACGCTCTCGCCGTCTGCCGAGTGGATGCACGACCAGTGGCCCAGGCACTATGGCCCACGCCCGCTGAGGTGCTTCTCCCCTACCCCACAGCCCCCCACTCCTCCTGGTCCAAAAGCCTGATCCCCACAACCGGAACAATGCCCGCCCCCCACACAGGAGCACACCAACCCAGCCCCAACCCAGCCCTAACCCGGCCCCAGAGAGTGAGCTCTCCCGACGACGCACTGGAACAGCTTCCGGAGTAGCTCACGCATCACTCGTGGCCGGAGGCCATGATCAGGGAGCCCGAGGAGCACCAAGTCGCTTGTACTGCCCCAAAAGTGCCTCTGCGGGATGTCAGACTCCCACTTAGCCCGCGAATCAGACGGCACGTCCCCTAGAGCCGCCGCTGCCTGCCTGGCCTCCCTCTGCTCTGTTTATCCTGGGGTTTCCAGGGAAAGTTCGTAACATTCAGTCAAAGCGGACCTTCGAACAATGGACAAGGACGTCCCGTGTAACAGCCGGAACAAACTGACGCCCATTTGAAGCCTACGCCCACCGAGCGGGAGCACTGGGTCTGGGAGTCCTAAGCTGTGCTGCTGGATCGAGAGTCCCTGGGGGCCACAACCAGGGTCTGGGCGTCCCTGATCCACCCCCTGGGGCCAGCTCTCCCTGCCGGACAAGACGCAGTGAGGCTGGGAGCATCCAGGGCACGCCGGTGCGAGGTGCTCTTGGATGGGTCCTGGGGATCACAAGGGAGAGGCTCGCCGTGATACCTTAGTTTGCACCTCAGCCAGACGAGAATTCGGTCGTTCACTCATTTATACAAAACTCGTCGAGGCCGTACTCTGCCCTGCACCAGCTGGCTGGGGTGTGCGTAGGCCGGTCTCTGCTTGTGACCAGCACACTGCCGGGTAGGGGAATGGACACAGAGCCCAAGGACCCCCTCCGCGCGTGGGGACGAAGCAGACGGGGTGTGGCTGCCCGCGAGCGTGGGTCGTGTCCCAGAGGCCCGTCGTTGCAGCTCCCAGGGGACCCCCTCCGCGCGTGGGGACGAAGCAGACGGGGTGTGGCTGCCCGCGAGCGTGGGTCGTGTCCCAGAGGCCCGTCGTTGCAGCTCCCAGGGTGGAAGAGGGTGTGGTCGAACACAGAAGGCGTCCCCGGACAGGGCGGGCGAGTCACTGGTCCGTGATGTCGGGCACAGCCTTGCCGGGAAGACGCCGAGAACGTGAGCGAGCAGAGCAGGCCGGTGCGGGGCCCGGGGCAGCCGGGGTGAGCCCCGCAGGCCGGTGCGGGGCCCGGGGCAGCCGGGGTGAGCCCCGCAGGCCGGTGCGGGGCCCGGGTCCGCAGCCGACAGCAAGGGCACAGCCAGGTGCGGCCAGTCGGAGGCGGCGCAGCCCGCAAGCGCGGTTCCGGCAGCCAGGACACACGCTTCCCACCTGACGCGGCGCGGCCGGCCCTGCGACGGGGAGGGCCTCCGGCCGCGCTGCAGGAGCCAGATTCGCGCACGCCCTGCAATCCCCTCCGGGGGCCGACAGGCGGCTTTGTGCGCCCCCGCCCCGCCCGCTTTACCTGCACAGGTGCCAGTCCTTGAGGTAGAGGCAGCCGCGCGGCGAGGAGTAGCCCCCCCGGATGTAGTCCTCCCAGTAGCTGATGTAGTCCCGGAGGCGCATGCGCTCCTTGCGGTTGGAATTGGACTCCCGGGCCCCGCAGTCGGCCACAGGGACGACCACGTCCCCTGCAACGAGAGGCCGTGGCACGCCGTGCGCCTCCGCGACGGCCGCCCGCGCGCGCCCCGCACTTACCGTAGCTCCGCAGCAGGTGCTCGAAGGCCGGCTTCCCGTCGGGCGTCACCCAGCGCCTGCGGCTGCCCCAGCCCTCGGTGAAGGCGCTGGAGAAGACGCACGGCACGTTGGGCAGCAGGTAGCCCTTGAAGAAGTCGGCGTACGAAAAGCAGTCCGGGCTCTCGATGAAGTCCACGCGGCCCGGCGTCGCGCCCGTCGCGCCCGCCGCGCCCGCCGCGCCCGCGGGCCGCCCGCGGAGGCGTCGGAAGTGGCTCTCGGCGAACGCGCGCGTCTCCCTGTCCATCCCCGGCCCGCTTGGCGCCCGCGCTGCACCGCAGGGCGGCGGGGGGCGCCGCAGCCGCCTCCGGCCTCCCGCCTCCCGCTCTTCGAGCGGGGCGATGGAAAGGAAGTACTCGCTACGACTACTTCCGGAGCAGACGCCGTGGCCGGCACGGGCTGCGTGCCAGCCGGAGCGAGAACCGCGCGGCACAGGCCGCTGGAGCCTGCGAGCGGCCCGGGGCGGCCGAGCGGAACCAAGAGAACGCGGCCAGAGTTCCTGCCCGAGTACGAATCCCAGCGCGCCGGGCCCTGGGCGCACGCGCATGGCAGCCTGCGGGCCTCGTTCTGCGCAGGCGCGGGAGCGGCCCGCAGCGCCTCTGGAGCGACCGGCTGGTCTGTCCGGCGTCCGAAGCAGCGCCAGACCCGGGTCTCGCCGTCTTCGCATCTCCCCGGGGACACGGGTAAGCGGCGCCCCCAGTCTGCGCTCGGGCCTGTGCCAGAGTCCTCCCGGCCCTCTCCCGGCTTAGTCCCGCCTGCTACTGCTGCCGCGATGAGAACCTCCTGTTCTGACAGAGAGGCCCCGGGGCCAAAGGTGGGGTCCTGCGGGGATGCTGGGGGCCCAGGGGGATGCTGGGGGCCCGGAGGGGACGGTGGGGACCCGGAGGGGACGCTGGGGGCCCAGGGGGATGCTGGGGGCCCGAGGGGACGGTGGGGACCCGGAGGGGATGCTGGGGGCCCGGAGGGGACGGTGGGGACCAAAGGGGGTGCTGGGGGCCCGGAGGGGACGGTGGGGACCAAAGGGGGTGCTGGGGGCCCGGAGGGGACGGTAGGGACCCAGGGGGACGGTGGGGACCCGGAGGGGATGCTGGGGGCCCAGGGGGGTGCTGGGGGCCCGGAGGGGACGGTGGGGACCCGGAGGGGATGCTGGGGGCCCAGGGGGATGCTGGGGGCCCGAGGGGACGGTAGGGACCCAGGGGGACGGTGGGGACCCGGAGGGGATGCTGGGGGCCCAGGGGGATGCTGGGGGCCCGAGGGGACGGTAGGGACCCAGGGGGACGGTGGGGACCCAGAGGGGATGCTGGGGGCCCAGGGGGATGCTGGGGGCCGGAGGGGACGGTGGGGACCCGGAGGGGACGCTGGGGGCCCAGGGGGATGCTGGGGGCCCGGAGGGGACGGTGGGGACCCAGGGGGATGCTGGGGGCCCGGAGGGGACGGTGGGGACCCAGGGGGATGCTGGGGGCCCGGAGGGGACGGTGGGGACCCAGGGGGTGCTGGAGGCCCAGGGGGATGCTGGGGACTCAGGGGGGTGCTGGGGACCCGGAGGGGACGGTGGGGACCAAAGGGGGTGCTGGGGGCCCGGAGGGGACGGTGGGGACCAAAGGGGGTGCTGGGGGCCCGGAGGGGACGGTAGGGACCCAGGGGGACGGTGGGGACCCGGAGGGGATGCTGGGGGCCCAGGGGGGTGCTGGGGGCCCGGAGGGGACGGTGGGGACCCGGAGGGGATGCTGGGGGCCCAGGGGGATGCTGGGGGCCCGAGGGGACGGTAGGGACCCAGGGGGACGGTGGGGACCCGGAGGGGATGCTGGGGGCCCAGGGGGATGCTGGGGGCCCGAGGGGACGGTAGGGACCCAGGGGGACGGTGGGGACCCAGAGGGGATGCTGGGGGCCCAGGGGGATGCTGGGGGCCCGGAGGGGACGGTGGGGACCCGGAGGGGACGCTGGGGGCCCAGGGGGATGCTGGGGGCCCGAGGGGACGGTGGGGACCCGGAGGGGATGCTGGGGGCCCGGAGGGGACGGTGGGGACCAAAGGGGGTGCTGGGGGCCCGGAGGGGACGGTGGGGACCAAAGGGGGTGCTGGGGGCCCGGAGGGGACGGTAGGGACCCAGGGGGACGGTGGGGACCCGGAGGGGATGCTGGGGGCCCAGGGGGGTGCTGGGGGCCCGGAGGGGACGGTGGGGACCCGGAGGGGATGCTGGGGGCCCAGGGGGATGCTGGGGGCCCGAGGGGACGGTAGGGACCCAGGGGGACGGTGGGGACCCGGAGGGGATGCTGGGGGCCCAGGGGGATGCTGGGGGCCCGAGGGGACGGTAGGGACCCAGGGGGACGGTGGGGACCCAGAGGGGATGCTGGGGGCCCAGGGGGATGCTGGGGGCCGGAGGGGACGGTGGGGACCCGGAGGGGACGCTGGGGGCCCAGGGGGATGCTGGGGGCCCGGAGGGGACGGTGGGGACCCAGGGGGATGCTGGGGGCCCGGAGGGGACGGTGGGGACCCAGGGGGATGCTGGGGGCCCGGAGGGGACGGTGGGGACCCAGGGGGTGCTGGAGGCCCAGGGGGATGCTGGGGACTCAGGGGGGTGCTGGGGACCCGGAGGGGACGCTGGGTACCCGGAGGGGACGCTGGGGGCCCAGGGGGCTGCTGGGGGCCCGGAGGGGACGGTGGGGACCCGGAGGGGAAGGTGGGGACCCGGAGGGGCTGCTGGGGGCCCAGGGGGATGCTGGGGGCCCGAGGGGACGGTGGGGACCCGGAGGGGACGCTGGGGGCCCAGGGGGATGCTGGGGGCCCGAGGGGACGGTGGGGACCCAGGGGGGTGCTGGGGCCCCGGAGGGGACAGTGGGGACCCGGAGGGGATGCTGGAGGCCCAGGGGGATGCTGGGGACCTGGAGGGGATGGTGGGGACCAGGGGGATGCCGGGGACCCGGAGGGGACGGTGGGGACCCAGGGGGATGCTGGGGCCCCGGAGGGGACAGTGGGGACCCGGAGGGGATGCTGGAGGCCCAGGGGGATGCTGGGGACCTGGAGGGGATGGTGGGGACCAGGGGGATGCCGGGGACCCGGAGGGGACGGTGGGGACCCAGGAGGATGCTGGGGACCTGGAGGGGACAGTGGGGACCCGGAGGGGATGCTGGAGGCCCAGGGGGATGCTGGGGACCTGGAGGGGATGGTGGGGACCAGGGGGATGCCGGGGACCCGGAGGGGACGGTGGGGACCCAGGGGGATGCTGGGGACCTGGAGGGGATGCTGGGGGCCCGGAGGGGATGCTGGGGGCCCAGGGGGCTGCTGGGGGCCCGGAGGGGACGGTGGGGACCCGGAGGGGAAGGTGGGGACCCGGAGGGGATGCTGGGGACCCGGAGGGGACGGTAGGGACCTAGGGGGGACGCTGGGGACCCGGAGTGGATGCTGGGGACCCGGAGGGGATGGTGGGGACCCAGGGGGATGCTGGGGACCTGGAGGGGACAGTGGGGACCCAGGGGGATGCCGGGGACCCGGAGGGGACGGTGGGGACCCAGGGGGATGCCGGGGACCCGGAGGGGACGGTGGGGACCCAGGGGGATGCCGGGGACCTGGAGGGGATGCTGGGGGCCCGGAGGGGATGCCGGGGACCCGGAGGGGACGGTGGGGACCCAGGGGGATGCTGGGGACCTGGAGGGGATGCCGGGGGCCCGGAGGGGATGCCGGGGACCCGGAGGGGACGGTGGGGACCCAGGGGGATGCTGGGGACCCGGAGGGGATGCCGGGGACCCGGAGGGGATGCCGGGGACCCGGAGGGGACGTGGGGACCCAGGGGGATGCCGGGGACCCGGAGGGGACGGTGGGGACCCAGGGGGATGCTGGGGACCTGGAGGGGATGCTGGGGGCCCGGAGGGGATGCCGGGGACCCGGAGGGGACGGTGGGGACCCAGGGGGATGCTGGGGACCCGGAGGGGATGCCGGGGACCCGGAGGGGACGTGGGGACCCAGGGGGATGCCGGGGACCCGGAGGGGACGGTGGGGACCCAGGGGGATGCTGGGGACCTGGAGGGGATGCTGGGGGCCCGGAGGGGACGGTGGGGACCCGGAGGGGATGCTGGGGACCCAGGGGGTGTTGGGGACCTAGAGGATGATGAAGGCCTGGAGGGGATGCTGGAGATCTAGAGGGATGCTGGGGCACTGGAGGGGATATTGGGGGCCCAGGGGGATTGTAGGGACCTGGAAGAGATGCTTGGGGCCTAAGGGGCTGGTGGAGGCCTGGATCAGAGGGTGAGGGGCTGGTGGGGGAACAGGGGACCTGAAATGCAGGTGTAGAGAATCACAGGTGAGTATTTGAGGCTGCACACCGGCAGGACGGAAATGGGGGGTTGTCTGAGTGGGGACGTGGTAGGGGTGACACGTCCGGGTCTGAGCATGTTAGAGAAAATGTTCTGTGAACGCCAATCTACCTCATCAATCTGGAAAGGAGGAACGCAGGCTCGCTGCCACGGGAGCTTGGCAGATGACATGTATGTGGAGCGTGTGCGGGAGAGTACAGATCTGGGCAGAGCTTCGTACATCTCATACATGGTCAAGCACAAGAAGGAGCAATTAAGACCTGTCATCTCTTTGAGGGAGAAGCAGATGCATCTTGTAGTCTTGCACCTGGTGAGACATGTCTGACTCAGTTCTGGAGCTATGCGTTTACAGCTCTGAGTTGGCGACCGTGCCTTGTAAAATCTGGATGCCACTTTATGTCGTTCCTGAACAAAGGGGACACTGAGTGAAGGGGAGGGGTGGATGTCGCCCCTTTATTAAATGAGGAAGATGCTACCCTGTTTACTTTTGCGGGTGGGATAAGGGCGTTCTCCCCAGTTGGGACTCTGAGCTTTGGAGAGGGGCTTGAGGGGGACTCTTTCCACGTATCCTAAAGCTTACCCAGAAGGAGAGCAGGGAGGATGGCAGGTGGGGAAAGGCAGAGGAGACGGGACTGGGAGGAGGATGAGTTTGGGAGTGTCTGGGTTCTGGGCAGAGCTGAGCACACCAGTGAGGTGGGCTGGTGGAGCAGCGCGAAGGGCTCTGTGATCCTGTGTGTGCTGGGCTGCCTTCCCAGGCGGCCTCGCTGTGCCCAGGGTGGCCAGGTGTGGAATTCCTCACTGGGCCAGTGTGTGGCATGAAGTCAGGGAGAACACGTGGGGCGGTCAATGTGGAGAAGAATCCCCCGTAATCCCATCCACACCGGACTTTACAAGACAGTTAGAAATGTAGCTATCTTGGGGTGCCTGGGTGGCTCAGTTGGTTGAGCGACTGCCTTCGGCTCAGGTCATGATCCTGGAGTCCCGGGATCGAGTCCCGCATCGGGCTCCCTGCTCGGCGGGGAGTCTGCTTCTGCCTCTGACCCTCCCCCCTCTCATGTGCTCTCTCTCATTCTCTCTACCAAATAAATAAATAAAATCTTAAAAAAAAAATAGCTTTCTGTGCTTTCTCTGGCAGAAGCCAGGATTATTTCAACAGAGACTTAAAGCTATTTAAAATTGATCAGCCTTGGGCGCCTGGGTGGCTCAGTTGGTTGGGCGACTGCCTTCGGCTCAGGTCATGATCCCGGAGCCCCGGGATTGAGTCCCGCATCAGGCTCCCTGCTCAGCAGGGAGTCTGCTTCTCCGTCTTACCCTCCCCCCTCTCGTGCTCTCTCTCATTCTCTCTCTCTCAAATAAATAAATAAAATCTTAAAAAAAAAAAAAAAAGAAATGCAGCTATCTTTCCAGGCATTCCTTCATTGCTTCCTATTTTATGTCTGTCTCGCCTCCCCCCTCCCCCCCCATACACACACACACACACACACACATCTGTATTTTGTATGTGTGGAAGTTTGTGTACGTAAGCTTCTGCTGTTTTTAGGCTTTTTTTTTTTTTTTATCATATATTGTCCACATCTTGCCACAAATCGACGGGTGCTCCTTAATAATTGGATTTCAGTTGTGGTGGACGGGAGGCAGTTGGGAAAAGTGTGGGAAGCAGAGTGCTTGTCACTGTCTGAAGCTTGAGAAAATGTGGCTTGAAGTGTGTCTTGGGAGAAATGTGAAATCGAGATGGGCGTTGTCTGGGACGAGTCCTGGGAGTCTGGCTCCTGAAGCTCGGTTCTTGAACCAGGTTCCCCGAAAAGGGGGAGGCTTTGGACCAGGAGGTCCACGTGCTCCCCAGGATTGTTGAGGCAGCTGAGCCAGGCAGCCAGGGTAGGAGAGGGGACCCCACGTTCCGTGCTGTGCTTCCTCTAGTCCACACGGTGGCCCTCTGGTGCTGGAGCTGGACCACAACATGGGCTGAGTCCCTCGAGGGCCCCCGGAAAGCAGCCTGGCATCGTCTGGGAACTGTGAGAGGTGTCCTTTTGGGGCCCCACTCGGACCCGCTGAGTCAGACGTGGGGGGCAGCATCCTGCTCCGAGCCTTGACGTGCCCCAGCACTGCGCTGTCCACACAGCTGAAGGAGACCTTCATGCTGGGGCGTGGTTGGAAATGCAGCGGGAGTCGGGAGCGATCCTCGTTCTCCTTTCCGAGGGTGGAAGGATGGTGCATGCCACGTGAATAGGCCGCGTTGTGGCCCTGAGACACCCACAGCAGCACATCTGAGCCTCCCAGGTTGAGAGTGGAGCCTCTGAGGGGCAGGAGGTGGAGGTAATGGAAAAGGTGGCCGCCGGCGCCGGGAGACACTGCTCCCACTGTTCTGCCTCCAGGCCTCCTTGTGCTCAGGAGTCCTTGGAACCTGTGTGAAACGTTGCTGGGTCTGTTCCTTTGGAAACGGACTAAAAATAGGGTGTTTACTTGATGCTGAGGCTCACTCCCGGGCACAGGCCTGGTGCGGGCGTTAGAAGACGTCCATACACAGCAGTGCCTCGTACAGAATGCGGGGCATCGTGCACTCCATCCACGTGCCTGCTCACGTCTCCCCACGAGCATCCCTTGGGGTGCTGCCCCACGATCTTCCTGTCGTCATTCAGCTCCATTCCCAGGGTCAGCACAGGTCGACGTGGGTTCCGGGCTGTAACAGGCGAGGCCCGAACAAGGCCTCCAGGAACGTAGCATAGATCAGAGACCCGGGTCAGCGGTGGGAGGAGGAAAGCCGTCCGTGGTGGACACAGTCGCTATTTCCACGTGTTTACCTGGTGCCCACGATGTGCTGGCATCGTGCCCAGGGCACCCTCCTCCTTAGGTTTGCCTTCTCCAGCATGTAGACTGAGCCTGTCAACATGTAGGCTCCTGGGAGCTGTGGCAAGTGCTGTGTGGTCAGTGGAAGGTCTGTTACAGGGGAAAGGGAGCCCCCGGAGCTGGCCATGGGGTGTGGGGTGCTGGGGCAGGAGAGGAGAGGCCGCCCCTGAGGCACCCGGGTCGGGGGTGGGAGACCAGGGAGGAAGCATGCTCTCTCTCCAGAGGGGCAGCTGTGTTGGACAGAGGTTAGAACACACAGAGGTGGGCACTGCATTTGGCCACCTGGAGGCCTGGGCAGAGCAGCGTGTCCGGGGCCGGGGGGTGCCTGGCGGTGGGAGCCGCAGCGGGTGTCTCCTGGAGGAGCGGTAGCTGGAGAGGGCTGTGGGGATGTGGGGAGGGGGCCGCTGGTCTGTCCGAAGGTGGAGAGCTTAGGGCGTCTGTGCAGACTGACGAGAGGGTCTAGGACAGGGGAGGGCGAGCGAGGTGGCCCCGTCTTGTGCATGAGGGCAGCCACACCCCTTTGTTTCTGCGCGGTGGCTGTCTGCTCCCGCCGTTCGCCGGCAGGGTTGCGCTCTTGCAGCGGGGACCCTGTGCTCACAAAGCCTAAGGTACTTGGCGTCTGTGCCCCGGTGTCGGAAGGACGGAGAGGTCGGTGTTGCTGGAAGGGGTTGGGATCGAGGGCACAAGAGCGAGGGCCGGCCTTGTAGGGAGCAGGGCACAGGCGGGACACCCGGGGACAGGTGTGGCCGGTGAGTTCACAGCTGAGGGCGGGGGAGGGCGTGGGCATGTTGTTCCTGCTCTGGCCCTCCCCTTCATCTTGGTCACTGCGTCTGTTGGGAAAAATGCCGTGGAAAGGTGTGGTAGGAAGTGCTGGCCACAGGTTTCTCCGCTTGCTTTTTCCTGGAATCCTCAAACCCGAGTGCTGTTCTCACAGTCCTCACGTGCAGTACCTTAGTGAGAAGTGTTTCGTTTCTGCTTCGTTCCTCTTTCCTTGTCCTTCTCTCCTTGTGTTTTTTTTTTAAGATTTATTTATTTATTTGACAGAGAGAGACAAAGCGAGAGAGGGAACACAAGCAGGGGGAGTGGAAGAGGGAGAAGCAGGCCTCCCGCCGAGCAGGGAGCCCGATGCGGGGCTCGATCCCAGGACCCTGGGACCATGACCTGAGCCGAAGGCAGACGCTTAACGACTGAGCCAACCAGGCGCCCCTATTTTTTTATTTTTTAAAAGCTTTTCTTTATTTATTTGACAGAGAGAGACACAGCGAGAGAGGGAACACAAGCAGGGGGAGCGGGAGAGGGAGAAGCAGGCTTCCCGCAGAGCAGGGAGCCCGATGCGGGGCTCGATCCCAGGACCCTGGGACCATGACCTGAGCCGAAGGCAGACGCTTAACGACTGAGCCAACCAGGCGCCCCTATTTTTTTATTTTTTAAAAGCTTTTCTTTATTTATTTGACAGAGAGAGACACAGCGAGAGAGGGAACACAAGCAGGGGGAGCGGGAGAGGGAGAAGCAGGCTTCCCGCAGAGCAGGGAGCCCGATGTGGGGCTCGATCCCAGGACCCTGGGACCATGACCTGAGCCGAAGGCAGACGCTTAACGACTGAGCCAGCCAGGCGCCTCAGTGTCCTTCTCTCTTTGAATTCTAGCATATTTCAGAGCTGCTGTTGTCCTTCGGTCTTCAGTCATTTGAGTGGTGGGTAAACAGGCCCAGAGGGTGAAGGAACTTTCCATGGGTGTAAAGCATGTGGCAGAGCGGAGCTCCTCAGACCCTGCAGTGCCACACTCCGTCACTCTGGAGCATGCGTGTCTGATCTCGCTTGGAGCTCGGGAGTCCCCCGGGGCGCAGGCTCTTGTTAGTAGGGACTCAGCCTCCAGCTGCAGCAAGCTCCCCAACGCTGGACAGTGGTGAACAACACAGGTCCTGACTCTCTCTGCGGCTTGGACACAGTTTGTGGTGGTCGGGTGGCTGAATGGCAGGAGGGTCCCTTCAGCCGGGAGGACCAGGGTCAGGCCGGCTCCAGGTGCTGACCAGGCACCCAGCCTCCGACCTTGGTCTTGGACTGGGAAACACCAGAAACTGTGGGTAGTATTCCCTGGTTCTGAGAGTAGAGACCTTCCCACCCTCCACGGTCGGAATGACTTCGGGGGGCCCCGTGGCACAGCGGCCCTGGCAGGTCTGTGCCCGTAGAGGTCCCAGGCCAGCAGGCCACAGTGGTCTGTGTTTGTTTCAGTGTCGGGTGGATGTCCCTCTTGCTGGGGAGAGAAGTCTGAGCAGGACACGTTTGCTTTCTGGTTCCCTGTGTCCAGTGAGAGACCTCGTCCCAGAGGAGAGGCTGCCGTGCTGCGTCCGTGCCCCAGGTGGTAGTAGGACTTGTGTGAAAGCTGTCAAGGAGGTAACTCGGTGTTGTGTTCAGCAGGTCTGAACTGTGGGTTGGCTGGCCCTTTAGCGAGCCCTCCTGAGGTCACATGGCGAGCCTGCTGTCTGGTGGCTGCCGACTCTCCAGGCACTTGGATTCCGTGTAATTAGGAAGCTCCATGCGATGCAGGCTCTTTTCTTGTCTTGCCCAGCCTTGGTTGCTTGATGTGGCATTGTGGAGAAGTCTGGGTCTTTAAAGTATAACTCAGTGAACAAATGCAGAGGGTTTCTGTGGACGCTGAGCTTCAGGAGCCAGGGACGATGTCAGTTTTGGCACCTCGGTGCCTGCCGTCCCGCATGGCCTGGGGGCCTCGAAGCCATGGCCACGATTCAGAGACTCCCACACTTCTCAGTATTGTAAGAGGTAATAGCAGGGATTTGTTCTCCCACGTTTACAGATGAGGTTATGCTGTAACTGTGTGTGTGCGTGGCGTGGCGGGGGGGGAGTGGAAGACAGACCCCAGTACAGCTGGACCTCTGCACACACGGGAGGTGCACGAAGCATTCCCAAGTCTAGTTGTAGCCAAGTCCTCGTCACATACTTGTGCTTGACCTTGCACGAGGTCCTCCTCCTTTCCTGGCTTTGTGGGCTTATCTGGTCAGTGAGAGGGGCGCACGCGGTGTTCTGTCAGGATTGTCTCACATCCATCATGCCTGACTTCCTTACCGCCACATAAAACTGTACGTACAGATACGTACGTGGAGCTAGATAATTACGTAGAACTTGATGAATTTGTGGGCCATGCAAGAAGGGAAAGGTCTGCCTGTAGGCTTATTTCCTTTACGATGAAGATTTCAAGAGGAGAGTGTTAGTGTAGGAACACGTGCGGACTGTGTGTTGGTGGGGCTGTCACAGCAGAAGGGTTCTTCTGAAGGATCCTGGGGCGGCAGTCTCATCAAGCCGTGGACCCTGGTTCGGGGGGTGGACCTCCATCCTGCCTGTCCTGGGTGGTGGGAGTCCCCGGTGTACTCAGCACCCCGAGCTGTCCTGCTGTCTGTGGTCCAAGTGTGCTGACATGCACCAGCCTCACCCATCCGCTAACCTGTCCCTCTCCTCCAGAGGCAGAGTGGCCGTGGCCGTGGGGCAGACCAGCCTGGGAGCCAGATGAGCAGAGAGATCTGCGTGCACTCCTGGCCTTGCTCCTACTACTTAGAGCCGGAGAAGCGATGGGTTCCTGGAAAGCTTTCATTAACTTCGCACTCCCTGAGATTTGCAACTGATAAAACCGGGGAGGCGCTGGTCAGCTTCCCCCTGTCTAGTGTGATTGAGATCAAGAAGGAGGCTTCTCACTTTGTCTTCAGTTCTATCACCGTCCTGGAGAAGGACCACCGCAAGCACTGGTTCAGCTCCTTGCAGCCCAATCGGAATGCGGTCTTCAGCATCATCGAGCATTTCTGGAGAGAGCTGCTGCTGTCTCCGTCGGAAGCACCGCTCCCTGTGACCAAGGGGAAGCAGCTGGCTGGTCTGATGGCCTGTTCCCAGAAGCGCCTGGAAGAGACAGCCCGAGTCCTCCACCATCAGGGCGAGCAGCTGGACAGCATCACCAGGGGCCTGGACAAGATGGAATCTGACCTGGATGTCGCTGACAGGTACAGGGGCGCTTCGGACACACGGGCCACGCCCCTGCCGTGCGCGGTGACGCCGGGTGGGCACTGGTGGGGGACACGTTCTGAGCCTGGTGCAGAGCTCCAGTCTCGTGTGAATGAGGACGGCTGCCTCATTTCGTCCTTGGGGGGAAACAGGCCGAGGGGCCCGGTCACACGCACGAAGGTGCTGTTCCGCGTGGCCGCGTGGCCGCAGGGTTTGAGCTGGAGCTCTTTGGCTCCGGGAGCCGCTGGCTGAGCTGCCACAATGGCCACTCCCAAACCGGGGACCCCCCGCTCTTCTAAACACTGGGGGCCCCGAGGAGCTTTTGTTTATGTGGCTGTGTGTGCCGACATATGGAAGAAGTATTTGTCCGTTGAAGAAGTGCGGTGATGAACCCGTGACCTAGTAACGGAATAGCCTTGTCAGTGAGAAATAGCTTTGATAAAGCAGACGTGTCTCGTGGGAAGAGATGGCCGGGTCCTCCCCCCTGATTCTGCAGCCTGCCCCCCGCCCCCCGGCCGGGTTATCCTGTGTCCCGGGGCCTCCGGGCGCTCCCTGCACACGCAGGAGAGCGAGGACGAAAGCCGAGCAGTGCCATGGTGCTGTTGTGAAGAAACAGACCCCCCCGGAGGGTCCCGAAGACCCCAGTTTGCCAAGCACTGCCCTGACTCTAAGCCGTGTGCAATGTGAAAGGGGTTTTAGTGCCTGGGAGGGCTGCCTCAGAGCTCATGACGGGGTGGCAGCCTCTCGTGGTGGGCCCTGAGCGTAGGCAGTGCCGTCTCACATCAGGGACACGTGGCCACTGGTGCTGAGAACCCCTGGCCCCGAGTGACCCCAGTCCGCAGTTACCACCTGTGGCTATTTTGGGATATTCTTTCCTAAGTGCCTGCATGGTGAAAGGCCTAGTGCTGCAGGGAACGGCCCCAGATCTTACCCTTAAGAGGGGTGCCTGTGGTCGCTGAGGTGGAAGGTGCTCAGACCTCTGTGAGTTTTGGTCCTGGGAACAGAGCTGGGCAGTTTCCACCCTTCCATGCCATCTTGGGGCGGGGGAGGTCATGGGACTGAGTGCTGGGCAGGAGTGATGTAGGTCACTTCCGGACCTGGTCTCTGCAAGCCTCCCATCCCATCTGTGTGTTCTCTTCCCCTCACCTGCTGGTGGCATGCAGAGAATCCGCCCTAGGACTCAGACGTGAGCTGGAGTTTGGGTCACCACATGGCATCCCAGAGCAGGCCCGACCCCAGCCCTCCACTGGGGGGCTATGTCAACATTAAAATAATAAAAGTCTAGGTTTTGATGATCTAGTTAATAAGAATTAAAAAAAAAAATTAAAGGAGGAATACACAGTACCAGCTGGAGGATAGTGAATGAGCGCTTTCACGCACTGCTATTTGGAAATGTCTGTTGGTTAATCCTTGCGGAGAACAATCTGGCAATTTAGAGATGTTCTTTTAACCAAAGGCCAAGTGATAGGGTCCCTGGGTGGCTCAGTCGTTGGGCGTCTGCCTTTGGCTGGGGTCGTGGTCCCAGGGTCCTGGGATCAAGTCCCACATCGGGCTCCCTGCTCAGCGGGAAGCCTGCTGCTCCCTCTCCCGCTCCCCCTGGTCGTGTTCCCTCTCTCGCTGTGTCTCTCTCTGTCAAATAAATAAAATCTTAAAAAAAAACCCGAAGAAACCACAAAAGTGAGAAGATGAACCTGAGGCTAGAGAAAATGCTTGTAGCATCCACTTGTATTCTCACCCAGGGATTCATACCCAACTAGGTAGAGAGCTCATATGGCAGAATGAGAAAAAGCCAGTTCGGTAGAAAAAGGGGCAGGGGCCGTTGATTGGAGTGTAGGGTCGGCTGCCGTCACGGAGAGCCGCAGATCCCGTGGCATACAGAAGCTGGGAGGCTGTTTCCCCCACACAGAGGTGCAGAGGAAGGTCAGCGTCCCGGGCAGGTCGAAGGCTCTGCTCTGGGTCACGCCCCGGGGCCCCGTGTGGCTCCGTGGCTGCGTCAGAAGCTGTTGGCAGCACTCTTCCCAGCCAGTGGGAAGGGGGCACAGGGAGGCCAGGGCACATGGCCTTGTTTTTAAGCGAATGAGCCCGGCCCACGAGAGGGAGGTACTGGCGCTCCAGTAATTAGAGAAAGGTAGATTGAACCAGCAAGTGTAGATGTGGGACAACACCAACTGACCGTCAGGGTGTGGGTCGGGACGAGACGGCTCGTGTCGCTGTCACCGATGGGACTTGGCTCGGCCGCGGCAGGACCTAGCTAAGCCGAAGGTGCACAGACCCCATGAGCAAGCCCGGCGTGTGTGGACGGGCACATCCACTGAGGCAGCTATAGTCAGTTGATCCCCAAGGGGATGCAGTCATCAGTCACTACTGCTATGTAGTTTTTGAGTGGAGGTGAGGTCCGGAGCTGACAGCCAAGGAAGAACTCTTGAGATGTCTTCAGTGCAAAATAGTGGTACTTTTTTTTTTAAAAGATTTTTTATTTATTTATTTGAGAGAGAGAGAATGAGAGACAGAGAGCATGAGAGGGGGAGGATCAGAGGGAGAAGCAGACTCCCCGCCGAGCAGGGAGCCCGATGCGGGACTCGATCCTGAGACTCCAGGATCATGACCCGAGCCGAAGGCAGTCGCTTAACCGACTGAGCCACCCAGGCGCCCCAAAATAGTGGTTCTATTAAAGCACGGGGCAGGGCCCGTGGGCGGAAAGAGCTGCTCCTGGGGTTACGAGGAGCTATACTTTGGGGTGGGTGGGGAGTAAAGATGAGCGAGGTTGCAAAAGGATCTTCGTCTGCTAAGGACGACCGGGCTACCGCAGCCCTTGCTACTGTTAGACCAAGGAGGTCTTTCCTTGTAGCCGGGCATTAACGGTAACACAGTATTTGTCAGTAGGCTGCAGGGTGTAGGACAAATACTCTTAGCCTCCTTTCCTTCTGCCTTTGTTTCCCACATCACTGCTGACTCGGATTCAATACACTGATTCCTGTTAGGTCTGCACGGACTGACTTGGATCCACCTCAAAGCAGTGTTAATAATGCAAAACCCAGTTGAAGGTAGATGTGTACAAAAGCACCATTTGTAAGAGTTTTTAAACGGGCAAAGTAGCAGTAAAGGAAGAGTGCAGGGAGCACCGAACTGCAAAAGCCCGAGCTGGAGGGGCGTGCACAGGGCCACACGTGCGGCAGTTCCACAGCGAGCTCCCGCAGAGCCGCCAACGGGTGCCCCTCGTGGGGGTCTCCTGGCTCATGGGGGCCGTTGGCACGGGTGTTTGGTGAGCATGTGATGTGGTTCTGCCTCTCAGTTTTGAAGTGTGTTCCTTCTGGAACTCCCGTTGTCTGGTTCTCAGCCGTCCTGGATTGATCTTCTGATGGCGTTCTCATTTTTCCCCTTGTCTTTTTGTTCTACTGTTTCTTGAGTTTCATCTTCCTCCTACCCTTCCATTTTGGGGATATTTTTAATTTCTAAGATTTATTTTTTAATCTCCAAATGTTCCTTTTGAATAGCAGCCTGTTGTTGCTCTGTGGGTTGGCTGTCCTCTTATCTCTCAGGATTTTCTGGAAAGCCTCTTGCATAAGGGCCTGGGGTGTGCCTCCCAGCTTGGGGGAGGCCTCTGCTCCCACTTCCTGCTCACAGCTCACCACGCCCCCTTCAGTGGTGACCAGACGGAGGTGGGGCCTGGCAGCACCAGGTGGGTTCTCGTTAAATGAACTTCCAGCCTGTTGGGTTTTGAGGCCCAGCTTCACGCCTGTTTTCAGAGGTCCCTGGTATTCTGTCTTTCTCCACATAGAGGGTTCTTCAGTAGGGATAACTAGATTCTGGGGTGGCTGTTCCAGGCGGTGGCCCTTGGCCACTGAAGACAAGCGGGGATGGTCACCATAATGGACAGCAGAGCCAAAGCCGTGATTAGAATAGTCTGACTCCGAGAGACCTGTGCCCCTGGAGGAGAAGTAGACGGGCAGTTGACCCAGTTCTTTTTTTTTTTTTTTTTTTAAGATTTTATTTATTTATTTGACAGAGAAAAACATAGCAAGAGAGGGAACACAAGCAGGGAGAGGGACGGGGAGCCTGATGCGGGGCTCGATCCCGGGACCCCAGGATCACCCAGGCGTCCCAGTTGACCCAGTTCATACTTCAGCTGGGTCAAGTGAGCAAGCCTCTAACTTGAATTAAAAAGCAGTCATGGCCCCTGAATCAGCGCCCAGACTTGAAGACCGAGTTTGCAGGTCCGAAACCCCTTGAATGATGGGGATGCTGGAAGGACCCCAGTTTGCTGCTAAAAGTTTACACCTCTTGGGGCGCCTGGGTGGCTCAGTTGGCTAAGCGTCTGCCTTCGGCTCGGGTCACAGTCCCAGGGTCCTGCGATCAAGCCCCACGTCGGGCTCCCTGCTCTGCGGGGAGCCCGCTTCTCCCTCTCCTCCCCACTTGTACTCTCTGTCTCTCCTTCTTGCTCTCTCAAATAAATAAAATCTTTATAAATTAATTAATTAATTAAAGTTTACACCTTTGTTCTTTCTCCCAGCCTTCCCCCTTGGGACTTGAGGCATTTAACCAGGGTAGCTGTGCACTGGGGAGCAGGAAGCAGTCAGACTTTTCGGGACCCCTGGCTGCTGGAACTGACCCGATGCCAGCAGACCAGTCAGAGTAGGGGCTTCTGGGGGTCAAGGGATCAGTGGAGTTCGAACTCAGGTCTGCCTCATAGTGTCACAGTGGGCCCAGTAGGCCCCGAGCCCATCCCAGTCCTGGAGCACATCATCCAGCAGCAGGCAGAATCGCACACGGTTCCCTGACCTGTGCAGTGTGGGCTGTTCTGGTGGCCAAGCCAAGTGGGAGCCTCTGGACTGCCTGGAATAGTAAACTCTTCCTGGAGGGATTTCTGAGATCAGTGCCCCCGTCAAGGACTGGAAGGGTGCGTGGATAGCGAGCCCCGCATCATCCTCACTCAGCTCACTCACTCGACGGTGCAGAACAAAGATGGATTGTCTTAAACTTACCAGGTGGTACTCTTAAT